TGATAAAAGTCAAAGTTAGAGTCAAGAACTTTCATAATCTGTAAATTAGGATAACATGCGTCAAAGGTCTACGCTAACATCGGGGTATGCTTGTAGACTGGACTCTTGGATACAAAAGTCTACACTAACATCGGGGTATGCTTGTAGACTGGACTCTTGGATACAAAAGTCTACGCTAACATCGGGGTATGCTTGTAGACTGGACTCTTGGATACAACCTAGATAACATTCTTATTTTGCTAATTAATGTGTTTTCAAATTTGATTAATAAAAAACGTCGTCACTTGATTTAGACTTACTTAATAATATTTGACCTATTTTGTATTAAATCATTACGCATAGAAGAGGCGGAAGATATCAAATGAATATTCAAACGCACAAGTCGAAGACAAAATGAAAACACCATTGCAAAAAATGTAAAAACGACCAAAGACAAACAACATTATTCAAAACACAACATAGAAAAATAAAGACTAAGGAACACGGACCCCATCTTAAGCCGATAGTGATCTCAGTTGCTCAGGAGGGGTAAATATATCCTGCCCCACATCTGACAACCGTCGTGATGCACGTGTAACTACAAATTTGTGTAGTGTTTGAAGGTACTAATCATACTTATTAGAACTGGAAAGGGACATCATACTTTCGACTAGAATTACTATGGTTTGAAACATATACCATATAACCGGTCTCCTACTGCACAATACCGATTGGAATCTTTTACTATATCCTTCAGACAAGTACTTATCACAACTAAACATAGTTGGGAAGTCCACTGTATCTTTCCAAAAAGTAATATTATGGACTGGAATTTCTCCTTTATCCTTACAAATATTTATATTTAGAATATGTATTATATGTGTCTAATGTAACACAAACTGTTAGTTATTATATCAATTGTTATTATATATTTATCTATTCAAAAATGCAATGACAATCATTTGGGATAAGGGAAAAAACATTACAAATGAACTGCAAAGTAAATAATTATATACAATTATTATTAATATATATTAACTGTATCTGTATACATGAAATGTTAAGTGAAACGACATCTATTACGTAGAAAATATTTAAATGTGATGAGGACAAAATGGTTATCATAATATTATTTGAAACAGCATAATAAGAAGATAATACTATCTACTGTTTATCTTGTTATTTTGCAAATAAAAAAAAAGCCTATGCATGGCATCCCTAATACGGGGCATTTTTCCGAAGAAGATTTTATTCAAGTAAACTCTTGATCCGATTCATACGAAGGAATTATGCTCCGTGGGAATAGGATCCAGATTTGACCTACCCACGGTTACACACTTTTCATTAATTGCTCCTCAGGAATAGGATCCAGATTTGACCTACCCACGGTTACACACTTTTAATTAATTGCTTCTCGGGAATCGGATCCCTCTACGGATTTCGGATCGGGATACCCGGTGTGAATTATTTTATGGAATTAAGCATTAAAATTCCTGTGAGAAAGTAACTAATGTATACTCTTCATCTCCATTTCAGAAAAATACAAATTACCATTAACACAGCATGTACTTGTTTTACACATATTACCATTAACACAGCATGTACTTTTTTTTACATATTACCATTAACACATCATGTAATTTGTTCACACATATTACCAGTAACACATCATGTACTTTGTCTTTTTATTTTTGGCCATGGCGTTGTCAGTTTGTTTTCGATCTATGAGTTTGACTGTCCCTCTGGTATCTTTCGTCCCTCTTTTGTACATATTACCATTAACACATCGTGTACTTTGTTTATACATATTACCTTTGACATATCATGTACTTTGTTTATACATATTACCTTTAACACATCATGTAATTTGTTCACACATGTTACCAGTAACACATCATGTACTTTGTTTATACATATTACCAGTAACACATTATGTAGTTTGTTTGTTTATATTACCAGTAACACAGCATGTACTTTGTTTATACATATTACCAGTAACACATCATGTTCTTTGTTTATACATATTACCTTTAACACATCATGTACTTTGTTTGTATATATTACCAGCAACACAGCATGTACTTTGTTTGTACATGTTACCAGTAACACAGCATGTACTTTGTTTGTACATATTATCATTAACACAGCATGTACTTTGTTTGTACATATATCATAAACACAGCACGTACTTTGTGTGTACATATTACCATTAACACATCATATACTTTGTTTATACATATTATCATTAACACAACATGTACTTTGTTTGTACATATACCATAAACACAGCATGTACTTTGTGTGTACATATTACCATTAACACAGAATGTACTTATCATGTACATATGACCGTTACTACATCATGTTCTTTGTTTGTACATATTACCATTAACACAGCATTTACTTTGTTAAAAAGCGTATAATCTCTTCACCTATTCTTTAATTCAAAATAGATGTATATTCTAAAGAAAAACATTTTACTCTTTATTGATTTACTGGTGCTTATTATAAAACCGTTAATATCAAGCGACAAATGAGTAGCTTTAGGTAAATGTGAATAAACGTCTTTTGTCTTTGATGCGAGTTAGTATTTATGAACCTGTACTTTAGTTTTTGGTTGTTGGTTGCTGACTGTCATATTTGTAGTTCATTTATTATTTTGTCATAGATCAGGTTTTTTTTTTATTTGAATTGTTCCATATTTTGTCATATTGGGGACTATTATAGCCGACTATATGGTGAGGGTTTGCCCTTATTTGAATGCCATAGGGTGACCTAAAATTGCTTAAATTCACGTCATTTTGAAAGTTTTTTATTATCACATCTCCTTATTTTTCATCAAATTGAGAGCGATTATACCAAATTTTGATCTAGAGCAGACATCATGAAAAGGATGTTTATAAGTCCTACTGACATAGTAACAGTCCTTGTCAAAGCATGTCACTATATTGTAATACAACAGTCACTCTTCCAGTCTTTGCTCTTATTCTCTAAATGGTGCATGATTAGAGGAATAACAACAACATTATGCCAGCTTTACAATTAGGTTTGACAAAACCTGGGATTGAACCTTGCATGGGCATTCAATGGAAACAACCTCACTAGCAAAAGACCACCGAAGCAAATATTTGATTTTTAAAGTAATAACCCACTTTGCAAAGAAGTCTCAGGCAAAATAGGGGTAAGGAATACACAGATATTCACACATTTGCATGTAATGCTTAAAGAAAAGTTAAACTTCATAAATATTAAATGAAATAGTCAAGTTAAGATATTAGCAATGTGAGAAAATCCTGTAGAGGTTAACTGATAGAGTTATTCTAAAAGTTTGTAAACACTAAAAACTAACATGACATCCTTGTTTTCACCAATTTAGTTTCATTGGTTCCCATTTATGAGATTAAGCCTTTCTTATCTCAAGGCCAGAGATGAAAGGTCAATGTCACTTTTATGATTTAGCCTTAAGAACACAATAAGGAAATTCATTTTGTATCTCATTCTTACAAAATGTTGTACAATATAAAAATAAGGAGATGTGGTATGATTGCCAATATGACAACTATCCACAAATGTTCAAATGAATAGGATGTACTCATGGTAACCTAGGAAATCAGGTGAACTCTTTATTTTTGAAGCCTATTATGCGTTTGCAAATTTGTATCCAGAAGTTTTACACTAGTTTATAAACAACTTGAAATAATCTTGACTCCTGACATCAGCTTCTGAACAACTTTATAACAGCCAGTTTCCAGACAACTTTACACCAGTTTCTGAACACCTTTACACCAGCTTCTAAACAACTTTACTACAGTTTCTGAACATCTTTACATCAACCACTTTCTAGACAACTTTACATCAGTTTTTTTTATAAGGAGGAAGAAGAGGTAGCAAAAAGCAAATCACAACCTTCTGAAGTCATTAACAAGATTTATCCACATGGTGGGATATAAAACTAAATAAAGACAAGTTTACCTTTCAAAAAGGTATGGAGTGCTTCACAGTATTTACTCCTACTTTTTTTTGTGGTTTTGTGATTTTAGAGAAAAAGACACAGGTTTATTTTAAATTTTCAAAAGTATCTATTTACTTATTTTCAGATACTTTTAATTGGGTTTCATTTTCACAACTATAAGTAATATGATACAAAGTGTGACCTAACAGGCAAAAAGGCTCCATTCTGAAGGTCTCAAACAAGGGACTGTGAATGGAAAATATGACATAAAATACTAATAGTTAAACTAACAAATTACTGAGAAGATTATAAGAGATTATATTTAGATCTTCTTGATCAGACTGACACATGATATCGTTCATTCATGAATATTTTACTGACTGTAATGAATTAAATTATTTCTGACTAGGAAAAGTAGATTGACACTCTCTACTGAATGCCACCTTATGTACACAATGAGTATTTCACATAAATTGATACTTCTCCCCTTGCTGACTCATTCTAGCCAAAAGAATCTTAGCCACATCATTAAGCAACTAATCAGAACTAACTGGTGTCAAGTGATAAATCCATGAAGGCATGTATATCAACTGAAACTAAAGGTGCGTTTACATGATACGATTTTCCATCCAATTTGATACCGTCCGCTAGTTAAATCTTATAGCATTGACAAGATATGAATTTCCATTCCATTAACCGAACTACTTAAGATTTAGTGTTCACACAGTGCGATTTTTATAGAAAGCAGATGCACAGATAAAAACCCAATGTAAATCGAAGGGAACATTGTATCGTGTCAATGCACCTTTTAAAGCTTTGCACTGTGATGTGAAAGAAAAAGTTAGTAAACAGTAAACAGAATGACACACTACATATCCACAGCTCTTTCAAGAAGAGACACACAAAAAAGAGGAATTACATGAGCATCAAATAAATTCATGTTTTCTAGGTTTTTTTGCTTGTATCAACCAGTATCAGCTTGTGTATACTGACTAAAATTTACCTATTAAGTCAACTTGAAATTTCATATTAACGGTGATCATAAACAAATAAACAAACAAATTTAACAAAATTAAAATTTTATTGCACCTTATTTTGCTGTTAACAAAACACCTTTGTGATCCAGCCAGTCACAGAGGTTATGTAACACTTCTGCTCTCTCTCTCTCTCTCTCTCTCTTATATTCATCACTTCACATTACATTAATCGTAAGTACCAGATAGACAGTAAAATATCATAATTCTAATTTGGAAATAATTCATGTATGTCACAGTTGTGTTTATCCAATTATGTATTAATAACAGATACATTAGTCTATCTCTGCTAGAATATTAACAAAGCTCTTCAAAGAAAATTTTATTGCAGATTATAAAATTCACTATAAAAGGATATTTTTTTTCATTTTAAAGCAAACATTTAACATTTGAATTTGTAGAAGATTTGCATTTAGATGTTATTGCTGATGTTTTTTTAAAGTCAAATACATATACAGTATACATACAAACTGTTTCATAGAAAGTAGATTTTCTATGTGGAACAATATAAAACTTATTTGTACTTCTACAGGTTTGATTTCTTGACATAGTCTATGTTGTTAAATATTCAATAAGTAGCAGTGGAAGCAATAACATATACGGACTATGCCAAGGACCATAAAATGAATTGTGATGGTTATTCAAATACTACATTTCACTCAGAATAATTGATTGTCCAGTGGCAAATATTTTATGCATGTTTAGGACAACACTCAGTATAGAAGAAGAAAACCAAAAACAGTATGTGTATATATAGTATATAAGTGTCACATATTTTTGTACATTGATATTTGTATAGTTAAATGTCTAATTGCAGGATAAATTTGAGTTGGTGGACTGATTATCATTATTCTGAAACAATAATCTGGATAAACCTTGAACAAAATAATGAAACATTTCATTAGGTGAAAATATAAACTATTGCATTTATGAATCGTGAATAAAATATTCATATATCTTGGTTAACAAACTAGTTTATAATCAAACATTGTCACATTGGTAGAATAAAAACTAATAATAAGCCTTTTTATCTGGAATTTTGTTTGCACTGATAGAAAAAAAAATGAATACAAATATTCCATGAAATGTCATATATACAATGAACCTTCCCAATACACATATGTATGGTATAATTATATTCACAAGTTAAGACCATACACCTCAATAGATATATAGATAATACTGCCCTCTTGCATAGCTAAATTCAATAAAAAGCACCCTGCTATATAAATTAATACTGAAATAAAAAAAAAAAATGGAGAATGTGTCCATGGGACAGAGATGATGCTCCTGCTTGCATATAATGTTATAAAGGGACATAACTCAAGAAGGGTAACAGTGACACCAACCAAATTCTAACTTGATCTGAGTTTTGTGGTAATTAGCACTGTGTCTAAGTTTCATAACATTTGGTTGAGGCTAACTTAAGTTAGAGAACAGAAACAAAAATTCAACTATTTTACAATTTGTAAAGGGGCATGACTCTAGAACAGTAAAAGTGATGCCACTAAATTCAAATCTTGGAAATAAGCATTGTATATAAGTTTCATAACATTTGGTTGAGGCAAACTAAAGTTAGAGAATGAAAACCAATCTCTGGATGTACATACGGATAGACAAGGGTAACACTTAATGCTCCCTTCACTGCAGTGGGGCATAAAAGTGATTTTGTAAAAGTATTGATAGATTTCAACATAGGGAATATTCAATATTTCATCAGAAAATACTTCCCGTATAACAAATTTATTAGAAAAGCTTGTAAACAAGTAATTCTCAATTCAAATGTACAATATGAAAGCTTGGTACATAAACCTGAGTAAAACAAACATTAGTCAGAGACCAAAATCAGATTATTGGACCATATATTTCCTTATAATCTCATTTTTTCTCATCAATTTTGTATTTAAACAAATGATAATAAGTGTAGAGGTGCCCCTCATAGGAGTAATACATGACAGGTTATAAATCTTTTATAATAAAACATGTATCATATTGTTCGAAAGCTGTGATTTGTCAAATCACATCACATGATAGGCCTTAGTCAAAAGACTTTTCCTTCTGATTGTTTGTTCATTGTTTTGCTTTTTTACCATTGTCTAAGGTTAAGGGAGGGTTACATAGTCAGAAACATGTTCAACCTGTTCAATCTGTATGTGCGTCTCAAACCAGGAGCCTGTAATTCAGTGGTAGTTGTTGGCTGCATATCTGCTCTTTTGTTTATTGTTTTATCATAAATGAGGCCTTTTCCTTTCATTTTTAAACTCTTTTACATTTTGTCATGAAAGGGCTTTTTAAAGCTTGCTATACGGTATGGCTTTTGCTCATTGTTGAAGGCCCTATATCCTCTTTATTTGGTCTCTGGTTGATAATTGTCTCATTGGCAATCATACCACATCTGATTTTTTTTCAATGTATGAAACCATTATATATATAATTAAGTATAGTAATCAATTTAACAACAACATAAAATCCAAAGAGATCATAAAAATACACACAAGTTACTACTAGTAACAACTATCAATTGCTGCTAACACAAAACCTTGTTCAATGTGAAATATTTGTTCATAATGAAATAAACTTTTCTAAATAAAAGGGACTAGTAAAGTACTTTGCAATAATAGCAACTAGTTTGTAATTCCTATTATAATGGCACACAATTATATATATATTAAAACGAAAGCTGCAAATCTTAGAACATGGCACATTCATACAGGCTTAATCAACAATTTAGAAAACAATCTTTTAATTCATGTACATGTGATATTCATGATATGGATGAAAATGACACTATGGATGAAAATATTACCGTAAGTTAAAAATAGCTTTTCAAATATACCAATTCCTCCTTTTTTTATTGAAATCTATCATATTCCATAAATATAACTGTAATCTGTTTCCCTTGACCTACATGTTGTAACAGAAACTTTTTCACTTTTAGCCCAACATTTTTTTTTACAAAAAAGAAAAAAATAATGAATAAAATAAAATAAAACAAGAATGTGTCCATAGTACACGAATGTTCCACCCACACTATCATATCTATGTTCAGTGGACCATGAAATTGGGGTCAAAACTCTAATTTGGCATAAATATTAGAAAGATCATATCATAGGGAACATGTGTACCAAGTTTCAAGTTGATTGGACTTCAACTTCATCAAAAACTACCTTGACCAAAAACTTTAACCTGAAGGGGGACAAACGAACGGACGGACAAACTGAAGCACAGACCGAAAAACATAATGCCCCTAGGTGGGGCATAAAACAACAGTTTTATATATAAATGTTGGATAAAAATGAGTATTATATCATGCAAGCTGACAATATATGCATTCTCACTGTAACACAAGAAGATAAATATTTTTACATTGTAAATTTCCTTACACCATGTCATAAAATTTTACAAACAATGAAAAAAAAATACAATTGTGAAATTGACTTTATAATGATATAAGAATGTGAATATTAGTGACGAGTAATGACAACCAAATAGATAATTCCCTCAATATATGTTATAAATGTCATCAAAATAAAACATAAAATATGTGAAAAAAAAAACAAGTGCTAAACTCTAACAATAACAACAATAAAAATTTAAATTATATAAAGTACAATATTTCTCAGCAGTAGAATTATGGTAGCTTAATTGTCATACAAAGACATCTATATTCAGACTTATCCTTCTAAACTTAAATAAGATAAGTTTGACAGGCCCTTTAATGTAAACCAAAAAGAAATCAGTGAAAATTTGAAATAAGTCTTGCTGTTTGCAAATTCAAATTTCATGATATAGTTCTGGTTTCAACTGAAGAAGGCCAAGCTGCTTCAATAATTCTGGTTTAAATTGAAGAAGGCCTAGCAGCTTTATTTAAAATTGTTCAAATTGTCATAACTCCTTTCTGATGGTGCAACTAATATCAGTATCACCTTAGTAACATATAGGGGCAAAACTTGAGCTACTATAATTCTACTGAAATAAAAACTTTACATCACAATCCATATTCCCAATACAATATATCTAAATTCTATCATTAGTAATAACCTGTGAAAATTTCAATCACTTTGTGATAAGCTTCATGTTCTAATACTCACTCAACCATGACCAACAAACACTGACAACATTGTAATATATTATAAGCACTAAAATATCACAAACTCTTTCAATGCAATTTTTGGGGAAACATTTTAAATAAGAAGTGACTTAAATAATGATTAAGCTTTATATCTTTTTAAAATTTTACTCCTAGATCGCCTTAGTATGCCTTAAGGGTAAAATTTTACACAAAGAATGGAGTCAAATCTCCATCCTACTTTCTGTTCTGATAATGTTTATACCACTAAATAAAGTTTCTGGCTTCAATTTATTAAGGTGTTTATATTACAACAAAACCTGAGGGTGCCTAAAGATCTTTAAAACAGAAAATAGAACAGATCCTTTTAGTGAAGCATGAACACAGTATCTGTATTTCAATCAGATATAGAATAGAATCTACCTAAAGTAAAATATCTAACAAATATTATTTCATATTGGTAGAGAATAAGCTTCTCTTATTGGATAACAAGGGGCCACATGACATTCTTTATTCTTCAGTAAAAAATTCCATCGGTCTTTCACAGAAAAAAACGTACCAGAAAACTGGTCATTAAAGGACTTTTACATGTTAATGACCAATGGGGCGTGGTTTCTCTGTTTAGAGTGATGTCCCTTTAATAAAAAACCGCAATCGCGATTCAGACGTTTGGAACATGGCTGAACTGGAAGACACACCTGCTGCAGACAACTCAAATGATCGTTTTGCCGTAATTTCCAATGCTGATAGAGAAAAACTACTCAGCAACAAGAATTATAAAATTATGGAAAACTTTATTTTGTATTCATATACTGAAAAATTGCATTTAAATGAACGGTACTGACTTATAGTTATCAATATGACTGGTCTTCACTCTTTCCTATAGAAATCGTACAATAACTCGAGTCTGCTTTGAACAATTTGAATTTATGAGAATTTTTAAAAACATGGTTCCTCAATGAAATAAACATAATATTTATTGAAGAACTGGTCATTATCGTGATACATGGACTGCCCTTATGGCAGTGGTATTGACTGCCTACAGATCAGTCATTATCTCTGTCTTAGTCAATACCACTGTCCTGTGGGCAGTCCATATATCACGATAATGACCAGTTCTTCAATAACTAGAGGCTCTAAAGAGCCTGTGTCGCTCACCTTGGTCTATGTGCATATTAAACAAAGGACACAGATGGATTCATGACAAAATTGTGTTTTGGTGATGGTGATGTGTTTTGGTGATGGTGATGTGTTTTGGTGATGGTGATGTGTTTGTAGATCTTACTTTACTGAACATTCTTGCTCCTTACTATTATCTCTATCTATAATGAACTTGGCCCGGTAGATACAGTGGAAAATACTTTGTAAAAATTTACAAAAATTTACAAAATTTATGAAAATTGTAAAAAATTGACTATAAAGGGCAATAACTCCTTAAGGGGTCAATTGACAATTTTGGTCATGTTGCCTTATTTGTAGATCTAACTTTGCTGTACATTATTGCTGTTTACAGTTTATCTCTATCTATAATAATATTCAAGATAATAACCAAAAGCTGCAAAATTTTCTTAAAATTACCAATTCAGGGGCAGCAACCCAACAATGTGTTGCCTGATTGGTCTGAAAATTTCAGGGCAGATAGATCTTGACCTAATAAACAATTTTACCCCCATGTCAGATTTGCTCTAAATGCTTTGGTTTCAGAGATATGAGCCAAAAACTGCATTTTACCCTATGTACTATTTTTTAGCCATGTCGGCCATCTTGGTTCGTGGGCGGGGTCATCGGACACATCTTTTAAACTAGATACCCTAATGATGATTGTGGACAAGTTTGGTTAAATTTGTCGTAGTAGTTTCAGAGGAGAAGATTTTTGTAAAAAATTACAAAAATTTACGAAAAATGGTTAAAAATTGACTATAAAGGGCAATAACTCCTTAAGGGGTCAACTGACAATTTTGGTCAAGTTGACTTATTTGTAGATCTTACTTTGCTGAACATTATTGCTGTTTACAGTTTATCTCTATCTATAATAATATTCAAGATAATAACCAAAAACAGCAAAATTTCCTTAAAATTACCAATTCAGGGGCAGCAACCAACAACGGGTTGCCTGATTGGTAAGAAAATTTCAGGGCAGATAGATCTTGACCTAATGAACAATTTTATACTCATCAGATTTGCTCTAAATGCTTTGGTTTCAAAGATATGAGCCAAAAACTGCATTTTACCCTATGTACTATTTTTTAGCCATGTCGGCCATCTTGGTTCACGGGCGTGGTCATCGTACACATTTTTTAAACAAGATACCCTAATGATGATTGTGGACAAGTTTGGTTAAATTTGTCTTAGTAGTTTCAGAGGAGAAGATTTTTGTAAAAGATTACAAAAATTTACGAAAAATGGTTAAAAATTGACTATAAAGGGCAATAACTCCTTAAGGGGTCAACTGACCATTTTGGTCTAGTTGACTTATTTGTAGATCTTACTTTGCTGAACATTATTGCTGTTTACAGTTTATCTCTATCTATAATAATATTCAAGATGATAACCAAAAACGGCAAAATTTCCTTAAAATTACCAATTCAGGGGCAGCAACCCAACAACAGGTTGTCCGATTCATCTGAAAATTTCAGGGCAGATAGATCTTGACCTAATAAACAATTTTACCCCATGTCAGATTTGCTCTAAATGCTTTGGTTTCAGAGATATAAGCCAAAATCTACATTTTACCTCTATGTTCTATTTTTAGCCATGGCGGCCATCTTGGTTGGTTGGCCGGGTCACCGGACACATGTTTTAAACTAGATACCCCAATGATGATTGTGGCCAAGTTTGGTCAAATTTGGCCCAGTAGTTTCAGAGGAGAAGATTTTTGTAAAAGTTTACGGACGACGGACGCAGGACGACGGACGACGGACGACGGACGCAAAGTGATGAGAAAAGCTCACTTCACCTTTCAGGTCAGGTGAGCTAAAAATAGGCTGCCAAAAAATATTTCTTTCTCTGCTTTCAAATGATATACTGTAAATTCAGAAATAATTGCAAAGTTTTTATTAATGTGACTAGGTGAGTATCACAGTAAGAAGAACTTGCATTCTAATATCTGATACATATATCTGTTTGAAACTTTTCCTGAACTGTGATAACTAATCTTTTTGTTCAGTCTTTAAAAATCTTTATATTTAATACATGCAATAATTTCTGAATTTAAAGTATAATGTAACCAAAATGATACTTGCAGACCTTAAAATGTAAACACATAAAATGTGAGATCTTTTGTGATTTTAAGCATACAGAAATATGATTCCACAGATCATTTTTCCCTCTTACATTTATGTCAATCAAAACCAATAAGGACATTAAAAATAAAATAAACAAGTATACAGAAAAAAATCTCCACAGATTACTTTTTCTCTCCCACTTATTGTAAACAATAAAAGCTAAAGCAATACTTTCAAAATTCAAAAGCAAAAGAAAAATCAGTAAAATAAAATAGGAAATGGAGTTGTTAATACCCACAAGGTAGTGAAAGAAATATAAATATTAAGTAGTTCTCAAATTTTTTTTAGTATAAGTTTAAGTATAAATTAAGTATACATATTTTTCATGAGAGTTTTTCCTTCTTCTGTAGAAACAGATGGCCTCCTGTGTCGGTTCCTTGATCCATATAGAAGTCCACACTGAAATCATAAACAATATGTGGATTAATACTCCGTCCAACATCAATACGCTACAGATTTTGATGATGATCTATATCGTCTTCCAAGTCCAAACCATCTCGACTGAAAAGTATAAAATAAAGGTCTGAAAATATAAGACCAAACTGAAGTGAACATTAAACAGCTCCTACTGTATTCATGGTATTACAGTAAATGTATTGCCATGTTTGTTAGAAAGGAAAATCTCAAAAAGTCTGACATGGAGAAACAATGTTATGTTTAAATCAAATATAAGATCAGGGATTTTCAGGGCATTTTGGAAAAAATGTACTTTATGTTCATATGAGTAATTTTAGTTAAAAAGTAAATGTGCTTTGCCGAGCATAGCTGGATACGACCGCAGAGGTCCAACCCTGAACAGTTGGGGCAAAAATGGACACAATATTCAAGCTTGATACAGGTCTGAATTTGGATTGTAATTAAATATTTGACACATAATAGGTTTCTGACACAGAATAAATGTAGTCAAAGAACTTGAAATTGGTTATATGATTTGAATTTATATTGCCCCCCCCCCCCCCCCAATTTTTTTTACCCCCCCCCCTTCCAAAAAAAAATATCATATTTGATGCAATTTTCTTTTTGTAAAATGTGCTAAAATTTAAGAGATATCCATACACTTAAACACAAGTTATTGTCTGAAAACTAGAAAAATGCTTGTTTTGGCCCCTAATTCCAGAACGGTTGGGCAATTACCCCCAAAATGAATCCCAACCTTCTACTTGTGGTATTGAACCTTGTGGTACAATTTCAGAGCAATCAAAATACTTGTAAACAAGTTATTGTCCTGAAACTAGAAAAATGCTTGTTTTGGGCCCCTTTTTGGCCACTTATTCCTAAATGGTTGGGACCATCACCCCCAAAAACAATCTGAACCTTTCTTTTGTAATATTGAACATTTTGCTTAACTTTCATAGAGATCCATTCACTTAAACTAAAGTTATTATCTGGAAACCAAATGTCTTCGATGACGACGTGATAGCAATATATGATCTCAAATTGTTTGCGGTCGTATAAAAATGGATATTTTAGGAAATCTTTACATATTGAGAAAGAACTAATCATGTGACTTCTAATTACAGACTTACCCTTGGTCTATTTTTTGTAAACAGGACAAACACTATAATGTCACAAATCATGTGACTACTAATTACAGACTTACCCTTGGTCTATGTTGTGTAAATAGTACAAACATTATAATGTCACAAATCATGTGACTACTAATTACAGACTGACCCTTGGTCTATGTTGTGTAAACAGGACAAACATTATAATGTCACAAATCATGTGACTACTAATTACCCACTTACAATTGGTCTATGTTGTGTAAATAGTACAAACATTATAATGTCACAAATCATGTGACTACTAATTACAGACTTACCCTTGGTCTATGTTGTGTAAACAGGACAAACATTATAATGTCACAAATCATGTGACTACTAATTACCCACTTACCATTGGTCTATGTTGTGTAAATAGTACAAACATTATAATGTCACAAATCATGTGACTACTAATTACAGACTTACCCTTGGTCTATGTTGTGTAAACAGGACAAACATTATAATGTCACAAATCATGTGACTACTAATTACCCACTTACCA